GGGGGGGGGGGGGGTGAGGTCCGCTCGATGGAAGCCAGGATTGAAGCCGGAAAAAGATGCATACAGATAGCGCCCGCACTTGAGAACTTAGCAGTTAAGAAATTGAGACTAGTAATAAATCAGAACCTAAGAAATTGAGCACCATTTGTGAGCTCGGTTAAGAACCCCACACTAAAACCTATATGGCGGCCGTTTGTAGCCCACAAGGGGATGATCAGCAAAGCAGACCCCAGTCTCGGCCGAAACTAGAGGTTCCAAAGTGCGGGGGCCAACTGTAGTGCTGCATGCATGAACGAAGAGTCTTTTTTGGAAAAGATCAATCAGCCACCAGAAGCATAAAACGTGGTGTTTTCTTGCTGACCTGTATTGAGTACGAATGCAGTTAAGCAAGAGCTGAATGACCGGGTGTTTGGTAAGCCGCTCGCCCCCGTCGTCTAGCTTCAAACCTCACAACACTTTGTAGCAGCTAGAGGTCGGGCACTGGAATCCCAGCGAAGCAAGGCCGCAATCCGCATCTGCGTAACCTTGGCTCCAGTTGACGAGTACGCTTAACGGAAGGGATTGCTGAGCCCCGCTTGTATTGCGGATGAATGCGTGCGCACAACAGTAACAGTTACTCTGTGCGACCTCGGACAGAAGAAAACCGAACGGTTGTAGACACAAACTCCGAGCAACAGACAATGAACGGGATGTTATCAACAATAGGCCAAACGTGGCTATTGCGGTCTGTGTTCTAGCAGGATGTTTCCCGCAGCCTCTGTTGTTAGCCTAGACACGGCCAAGCGAGTGATTCTACTCCAGTGAAACAAGCGATTAGTGTTGGTGTCGCCACATTACCCGACTCATACCTCACAAGCAAAAAAACACGCTTCATGAGTCGGGTTGGGTGCACCAGTATAGTAATAGTACATAGTGCGGCGGGCAAAAGTCGCGTGGCTCAAGCATGCAGCGACTTTCCCAGCAAAGGCGGGAGTTCGATACTGCTCACAACCAGCGAACCGCGAAAATGCCCAGTGTCATTCCGTCGGGTCTTTCTTTTTCTGTAAGGACCGAAGGATACTCAGGTCAAAATCCATGGGTTGGTCTAGCGAAACCCATAACACAAGGAACTAAACACCAGCACCAGCAAAAAAAGTTATCCCCAACAACAAAAACGTACGAAGGATCGAATTAAACCATCCATCGCACGAATACCTCAACACAAAGATAAATAAACGAAAACAACACACAACACGCGAGAGCAATCACACGCTCACCATCAACCTTCACACCCAAACGACTCTTTCAAAAGTCTCGGGGATTCGGTTGATCAAACACACTTACAACGTAAAGACGACAAGCTTTGCAACAGCTTGTCGACACAAACCACAACAGTTTCGGCCTTTTCTTCAAGCAAATACACCGCCTCGCAAACATGTACAACAGGCGATCTCGGCAGGAATAACGAATTACCAGCCACCCCGCTGCTGTGTTTTCTTCGGGGGTGAAGAATACTCTCCTCTGTTTGTTGTGTTTTTAAGGGGGCGGAGAAAATAACTCCATGCTGTTTTGTGTGATTTTTAGGGGGGGGGGAGGGGGAGAATAATACCCTATGATCGACGGCGGTTCCCGTTGGACTTGACAGGCGTCGTCACGCCCAGCCTAAAGACCCCCGCCTCGCCCCCGTCCCCGGCCCCCGACCCGCCGTTGGGGCGGATGTCCGTGTCATCCCGAGCGATTGGTTTTGCCGGGGGCGCCTGCTGTTCTGGCCTTGGTAGGCCGGAGATGGTCAGCCTCCGGCCCTTGTCGGCCGGGGTCGTTCGTTGCTTCACCTGCGGCGGCGCAGCAAGCGCGAACACACGCACACGCGCGCGCGTCCAGTTTTTTTTCCGTTATTGCTACGGTATCTGTGTTTACTTCGGAAAGCAGCATAGGCTCACTTCCCCAAGACGACGCTCCGTGGCATTTAGATGCATTTTGTGTTTTCAAACGCACGGAGACTGACGTTTTGTCATTGGTCAGCCGAAGCGCGGTCGATGCTAACAAGAAAAACACACACCCGCAAGCAGCAAATGCGTGGTAAGGAGGGGAGCGCGTAGCTCAGCTAGCGGCCAAAAGGTGAATGGTGCTGTGGACAACCGGACGGCTTGCACGCAAAGGGGAGGGGGGAGTATGCCGACATGCCCAGGCAAGATGCACGCTCGCACGCATCGCAACAGCAACGAATGTTCCTACACAGACCTCTTGGCCCTACTTGCCGGCGGGACGATGTGGCTCCTACTACGCACACCACAACATCTCGCAACCGAAAAACAAATAGTACAAGGCAGTCCGCACTACTCAAATCACGCCCACAACATCCCCGCAAGCGACGAACTAACGGCACACAGCAGCAGCCCGCCGCTTGCACGGGTTGCACAGGGTATTTAGGGGCTGACAATTGCTCGATTTCCCGCTTACCCGCGGCCGGGGCTCGCTGCCTCCGACGACCCTACCGCCCTCCGCCCGGCCGTCTTCCGAGTCGTCCCCTTGGTCGTCGTCTTCGTCCTCGCGGCCTCGCTTACCCCTGTTCGGGGGTTGCATTGCCGGGGCAGGGGCCCCGTAGATGGCAAAGTACCCCTGTTCCGACGACAACAGACACGGGGCAGCAGGCGCAGGCAAGCAAGGCGGAGGGCGCCGCGGCTGAGAAAAACCGTGTCGTGTCGTGTCATGTTCGCATGGTACGGGTGCTTCGTGGGGGGGGAACAAGCGCGCCTGTGTCGGACAGAACACCACACAAAGGCAGCAGCGGTGAGTGTCGCGCCAGCTTTTGGCGATACAACGACAGACAGCGAGTGGTTCCCGAATACCCTAGCCAGCGCGCACTTGGTTGCGCACTGCAGCCCTCCTTACACCTTCTTGCCTATCCTCCATCAAGGATGCCTACCTACATCCAGCCAGACAAACAGAAATCAGCACGCCCAACGCAAAGGCACAACAACAACGGCAGAAAGCATCCGCGGCGTTTGTCCCGAAGAAACGGACGTCAGAAAACTGCTTTGATTGCATCCTCGTTTGATCGACAAAGTCACCGTCGTTGCTGGACCTCGAATCATGCGTTCGTGCGTGACGCCTCCAGCGCAACGGAGCTAGTACGACATTGCATGCCGTTAGTACCTGGCCTTGACAGGTGGGGCACGTTTGGTTCCCCAGCAGGAGACTGAGCGTCCGCTTGACTTCTCCCGCCCCGTTGCAATTGGCACAAGCGGCCACCTACCAAAGCAACGTCCAGATAGCACCAGACGATAGCAAGAGGGCAAGAAGAAAGCGTGCTTAAAAAGAGGAATCGCGCGCATGGACGAGGCGGGCACGCATCTACGAGCATCAGAACAAAATCCGTCTTCGAATTCAACGGACGTTTGGATCTAGTCTCATCGTTTGCGAGATTAAGCCCACTCCTTTCGCCGCTGCAAGAAAAGTACGGAGGGATGTGGCATTCTCAAGCAGAGATGTCCGAACCACCCAGGGAATGCTTGCGATCAATTGAGGACACGAGGGATGCACCCTACATCGAGCGCGAAAAAGGTAAAAAGTAGTTACACACCCTGCAGGGACCCTGCCTAGCCGGACTATCTCGAGTGTTTTAGCGAAAAATCACTCAATAAACCAATCGTTTGGCCCGATAGGAAAACGGTCGGTCCGCACCCCGCATTTGGCTAGCTTCTGGTTGGGGGGAAGGTCGCGTTTGTGGTAGGAACGCGGCTCGAACCGAGCCAGCGTGGATCGATAAGTGCCGGTACAGAACGTGCCACTTCTATAGAACTCAAGAACCTCTTCCAATTGCCCGGGTTTTTCCTCTTTGGGGTAGTCCTAAATCGACTAAATAGGTCCTAGGTGAAGATTTCTTAGTATCACGCTCTCAAAATTCTCTTTGTTTCAAGCCTGATATCCTTAATTCCTGAGTACTTGAATTGAGTTGTGGCGCATTCGGTGCTCGCTATGTACTGCCTGTCTCGATTCAACACAATGCTGTGCCGACACATACATCATGGTGGATGACCCCGTGCCCAGAGCACAGAGTGCAGCCGTAGGCCCTCAAGCGCCCGGTGCTGTTACAGCGCGGACACAGGTACTGGGGGTCGAGGGAGTACCTGCAAAGCAATTTCATCGCAGGGGGTTGGTATGGGGACGGGCTGCAGGAGGTAAGAGAACGGAGGGTATCGTGTCAAAGGACGTCCATACGCCCGGAGGAGACAGGACTTACATTGGGCAGACTCGACGAATGACACGACACGATATGCAAGGAGGGTACAGTAATCGTGTACTTGGAAGTCCTTACCAATGACAAGTGGCCAATGTGAACGATACTTCATCTGTTGTGGTACGGTGCCGCCTAAGTTCAGCGATGTTCATACCATTGCTTTGCGCAGCAGTCAGCAAAGTCCCCGCACAAAAATGAACGGAGAGGTGCGCAACTGTTTTCAAGCAATCTCTGCTCTCGATAGAACAGCTCCAAGAACATACGTACGCCCCCACACATTTGTTTGCTACACATACGCTGGGACCAAGACAATGCAAGCAAGTGTGTGTTCCATTGGCATTCTTGAAAGGTACGAGGGTGGGGGGGG